ATATATATATATATATATATATATGTCGTTGGTACTAAACCAATGTTGGACTTTTTAGTATAGAGTGCTGCAGTTGATGTTAATTGCAAAATTATTTAGATTCTTTATATAATTGTTTCAATTTTGTGCTACGTTGTAATCGAAATTAAGTTTCTCTGAAACTAAAAAAAAATATTATTATAACGTATTAACCTATATAATTTACATGTATAATTAAGATGAGACACTCTGTATCAGTCCAATAATTATTTACAATTAATTATAATACAATAGTTTTTTATTTTTGGTTAAAAATTTCAGTGCAATAAAATTTGCTCTCATTTATTTTGTTTGACCGCGCAAATACAATTTAGCTTTACACTAGCGCAATTTTTATTTGTCGAATACAACATAAAACTTGCATGATAACGGTGTAATTTAACCAAATGTAAAGAATTTTTGGCACTAGAGCAGAGGGCATTGATCGAATGTGTGGCACCGAAAAAGTTTACACTCAGTGCGCACTAGTGCAAGTTGCCGAATTTGCTATGAAGAGATAATAAATAAGGCCCATTTTATAATTAATCGTATGTCAGGTCGTAAGCCGTAAAAATTGATCAATCACAATCGAGTTTTCTCCTTACATTCAATTTGTGATTGGTTAATTCGTACGGTTTACTATTTAGCTCACAAGGGATCCACAAGGCGCACAAGCTACAGCTACATAGAGAATATTATCCAAGCATCTTGATTCTCTTTGGCTTACTTTCTACCCAAAAACTAGACCGGAAATAAAATAAATATAAATAATAAAATAATAAAATAAATAGACTAGAATAAAATAAAAAAGCACGAAAGGCATTGTATAATAGCCGTGTACGCGATGATTTAATAAAAAGCCGAGAGATAAGGACGAGCGTGAGAATGAGTGTTTGATAAGAAATTGGAAGCACTTTTACACGAACACTTTTATTTTAACACGGAACTCAACTATGAACACTATTTACAGAGATAAGCGCGATCTGATGCGCCGCACGAGTGTGCGCATTGCCTATCAAACCGCCTTACGAGAACGAGTGCAAAAGGAAGCGTTACCGAATCATTAGCAAGTGCTGCGAGGGTCGGTTGCGAGAAGACTGACTCGAGTAGCGCCGGCTCGCCCCTCTTTCCCCTCTCATTTCGACTGAAATCTCGCCTCGGCACTTCCGTTCGAGCAAGTGACAAACAAGTGATGTTTTCGAAAAAAGGGAACAAATAATGTCACTTGTCGGTCGTTTGATCATCGAGCATGTCGTGCGGAAAATTCCGAAGCGACACATCAGCCACTACCTGCGTGTTGCGTGATGCGTTGAATTTTAACGCCGCGGTTTTGAACAGGCATCAAAAAATAAAAAAAATTTATTTTATTATTATTTTATTTTATTTTATTTTATTTCCGGTCTAGTTTTTGGGTGGAAAATAATCCAAAGGGAGTCAAGATGCTTGGATAATTTATCAAAAAATTAAAAAAAAAAGATAAAATTTATTTTATTATTTTAATATTTATATTTATTTTATTTTCAGTCTAGTTTTTGGGTGGAAAGTAATCCAAAGGAAGTCAAGATGCTTGGATAATTTTTTCTATGCTGTAGCTGTTATGCACCTTCTGTGGATCTCTTATTGTCAGTACTTTTTGAAATCCCTGTTTCCTTAGTAAATATCCAATCGTGTGACAATATATAATAATTCACACAAACTTATATATAATTACGTAATATATAATAATTCACACAAACATCATTCTGCCTTTTTTAAACGTCCAGTGACAACAAAGCATGGTGGAAGTGTAATCCTTCCACCATACAACAAAGATAGAATGACTAATTGTGTCGCTAAATGGAAAGCACACATAATGTCTGTGTGCGTGTATTTCACTTGCTGGACATAGATCTAATTATGTCAGAAAGAAATCTAAGAGCGGTCATGCTTTCGATTTAGGTGAGAATCAGAGACCTTCCAATAAGAATATGAAATAATTACTTTTGATTGTTTCACTATTTTTTATTGATAAAAAATAGTTCGACTCCGATTGTTCAATTCCTTACGGCTTATGATTTAAGGTGCCATTTCATGCGCAGTGTGCAGTCGCAGCAATTCATTACTATTGGTTAAAAATGTTACTTAAATGACGCACTTTCGGCGCAAAATACATTTTGCCGCATCTTAAGGTGCCATGTCATGCGCAGTATGCAGTCACAGCAATTCATTACTATTGGTTAAAAATGTTACTTAGATGACGCACTTCCGGCGAAAAATACATTTTGCCGCATCTTATTGAAGTTCAACCAAACGAACAGCAAAAGCGAACGAGCAGCAAAGCCGAAAAAGTCGTGTCAGCCGTATGCAAGCCGTGTGTTATAAACTTGTAATATATATAATAATAGAAAATATAACTCGT